TATTCGATTCACCCAAGAAATACCAAGATGTATCTGGATTTGAAGGACAGTTTCTGGTGGAGCAGAATTAAGAAGGATATTGCGGAGTATGTAGCAGTTTGTGATGTATGTCAGAGAGTGAAGGCGGAACATCAGAAGCCAGCTGGATTGTTACAGCCATTGTCGATACCCGAATGGAAGTGGGATAAGCTAGGCATGGATTTTATCACGGGATTGCCCAGGACTCGTTTGGGCTATGACTCTATATGGGTTGTAGTCGATCGGTTGACGAAGGTAGCTCATTTCATCCCAGTGAAGACCACTTACACCAGTGCTAAGTTGGCAAAGATATACATGACCAGGATCGTATGTCTACATGGAGTTCCGAGGACCATTGTATCAGATAGAGGAACCCAGTTTACCTCAAAGTTCTGGAATCAGTTGCATGAGACTTTGGGTACCAGGCTAGAGTTCAGTACAACCTTTCATCCACAGACAGATGGACAGACCGAGAGAGTCAATCAGATTTTGGAGGAGATGTTGACAGCTTGTGCGCTAGATTACGGATCTAGTTGGGATGACAATTTGCCATATGCAGAGTTCTCTTACAACAACAGTTATCAAGCCAGTTTGAAGATGGCCCCTTTCAAAGCTTTGTATGGAAGGAGGTGCAGGACACCGTTGTTATGGGATGAAGTTGGAGATTGTCAGTTGTTTGGACCAGATTTGATTAAAGAGTCTGAAGAGAAGGTTAAGCTGATTCGCGATAGACTCAAGGTAGCCCAGTCCAGGCAGAAGAGCTACGCGAATTCTAAATGCAAGGAGACAGTTTACAAAGTCGGAGACAGAGTTTATCTTCGTGTGTCCCCACTTAGAGGAGTTAAACATTTTGGAGTTAAGGGAAAGTTAGCACCGCGTTTTGTGGGACCATACAAATTTTTGGAGCGTATGGGGGAAGTTGCTTATAAGTTGGAGTTGCCCGAAGGATTGTCAGGAGTTCACAATGTGTTCCACGTTTCCCAGTTGAAGAAGTGCCACGCAGAGATGGCCGATATCCCTCTGAGAGATACAGTGCCACTGGAAGTGATTCAGTTGGATAGCGATTTGACCTACGAGGACCAGTGAAGATTCTCGAGTTTGCCAGCCAAGTCACACGCAGCAAAGTTATCAAGTTCTGCAAAGTTCAGGGGAGCCACCACACCGAGGATGAAGCCACCTGGTAACGAGAGGAAGACCTATGAAAGGACCACCCTCACCTATTTTCTAGCCAACCCGAATCTCGAGGGCGAGATTCATCTTAAGGGGGGTAGGTTTGTAACATCCCAAATTTTCAATTTGGAATGTTATGCATTAGATCATCATTGCATACCATATTTTATTGCATTTTGGCTTGATCCCAGAAATTCTACGCAACTCAAGGACCCACGGAGAGAGTTGGGGATTTCGTTATTTTCATATTTGAGTTTTCTCAAATTTTGAAAAGAGGATCGTTTGATTTTAATCATTTTTCTTTTTTAATATTTCTTTTATGAAAATAAAAGAGAGGGCATAAAAATGACTTCCCAAAATAAAGAAATATTGGAGGTTAAATATTAAAACCAAATAAGAGTTTTATTCAGAGTTTTATCGCTATTTTATTTGAATTAGGAAAAAAAGTGTGTTTTTCAAAATTGCATTAGAGGCCAAATAAATGTTCGCTTTGTCCGCTATATTTTTAGAGGACGGGGAAAATTTATTTAAGGATTTTTGGAGTCCGTTTAGTATTTTTTTTAATCATTTTTCTGCGCGTGGAATTATTTAAAAAGTCAACCGACTTAACGGGCCGTGTCCGACCCGGACACTGCACCCGGCCGGCCCTTTAAGAGCCGGGAGGCCCGAGCCGCCAGCCCCTCCCCCAAAACCCTAGCACCGCCCGACCCCGCCGCCGTCGCCGCCGGAGTCCGCCGCCGCCGCCCATTCCGCGCCGCCGCGATTCGCCGCCGCCCCGCACCGCCGCCGCTGGAGTCCGCCGCTGCCGCCCCGACGCCTCTCCGCCCGCCGCCGCCGCTGTCCCGATCTACGAGGTAGCCGGCGGTTTTATTCTAAAAACCGTTGGTTTTTATTCGAAACCTAGATGCATTTTTTTTATTAGATCGGTTTATTTTATTTTTTTCCGGTTTAGTTATTTAGCGAACGCCCGTTTGTACGTTCATTTTAACGAACGGTTTTCACTCGTTAGCCGCAGACAGCGAACGTTTATTCGTTAGCCTGTTCGTCAGTTTTTCTTTTTCCATGGTTTTTCCGCGATTATTTTCGATCGTGATTTCTGCCATGATTTTCGTTTTAGTTTACCTTTACGCTCGTTTATGGAATCAGGCGATTCAAGCGCCTAGATCTTCGCCTCGAAGCCCTCTTTCTGTTTAATCAACTTGAACAAGATTTTGGTACTATAAAATTTGACTTTAGTCCAGGTTAGTATACGAATCTTGTTTCTTTCGCAGTTTGAATTTCGTTGCTTCGTTTGATTTGATTCTTATTGCAAACCGGAGTTCTTAAGTTGAACTTTCTGGTTAGATCTCTTATTTGAGTTTTACTCGTGCTTCTAGTTGAGTGTGTATTATATGCTTATTTGTTTGCGATAGAGTACTCGGAGTGCGAAGCGTGCTACTACGAGTCTCTAGGTTTCACGGAGCATCAGCAAGGCAAGTAACACTTTGATCATACCTCTTTACTATCCAGTTTTATTGCATTAGATCAATCCTCAAACAATTGCATGGTTAGGATCTGTTTAACATGTGGGTTTTGGGAAGTAGATAATGAGGTAGAACCTATTGCACTGTTTAGTATCAAACCTTTGGGAGTTACGTCTACGTTGCTCATATTGCTATGCTATGCTTGTAGACGTGGTTTGGTTCGAGTGATTCATGACAGATGTGAGAGTTATTATTAATGGTTAACTTAAGGTGGCTACTTTAATACACATCTGGGTGGACTGCTTGAGGCACCCTGGAGTACCCAGTGGTTGTCAGGGCACTTGGAGAATCCGGTGTTGTCCTAGGATATCCCGGAATACCCGTGTGATCATCATACAGTCCGCCACCCAGGCTCAAAGGGATCATAAGATTATTCATGCTAGAAACTTCCGTGTGCAGCCACAAGCTATTATGGGCTCTAGCATAGTTGAGTATGTTGCAAGTCCTCTTTCAATGGTGGGCTAGCAGATGTTGGGGAAAGTAGGTGTAACTGTCCATCCAGAATAAAGTGTTATTGTTTCAGAAAGACTGTGTCTCGATTCTCCGACCATGAATGTATTCGAGTCTTGTGGGGAAAAGTGCGCAAACCTCTGCAGAGTGTACAAACTAATCATGGTTAGCTGTGTCCCCGGTTATGGACGTTTTGAGTGTCTAGTTTTTGGATTATCATGTTGATCTCATCACTCTAAGTATAATTTGATTGGGTTTAATGATGATGCTTAATTGGGGTTGAGTTGGAGGAATCTTCTCAATGTTTAACAACCATCATGATCGTTAAACAAAATTTATTTCTTCGTTGTCGGGAAAAATTGGCTTTATGCAAAACTGTAACCATAAAGCATTCCACCAGCCATATATGCATGTAGTGATAGCATTTATTCTGTTCATTACTCTTTATGTGTTACATTGTCAGCATATTCCATGTGTTGACCCGTTTCGGGCTGCAATGTTCATGTTGCAGACTTTTCTGACGACGAGTAAGGTGTCATAGGTCGTTGTCTTTCACTCAGTGATGTTGTTGGAGTTGATGCACTCACTTTATCTTCCAATTCTTCCGCTGTTATCGTTTTAGATGGCCTTAAGCCGTATTATTGTAATAAGTTCTCTTTTGAGACATTCGATGTAATAAATGTGTGATTGCTACTCTGTTATAAATCCTCAAGTATTGTGCGTGTCAGCATTACCGATTCACGGATGGCACTGATGCACAGAGATCAGACTGTTTGAGGTCTGGTCGCTACATTTTCTTAAGGGAGTTTGGCGTTATGTCGTATCGGAGCTTTTCTCCGACGCTTGCGAGTCGCACACGATGGTCGGCGCGTGCTTGCAAAACTAGTCGTCCAGGGTGGAGGGCAACTACCAACGATGGATCTGGCAAGAGCTTCCTTAATAAGCTCTTGGGGCAGTAGAATCCAGTGAAGTTGGAGGTTGTTTCTCTTCGTATTCTTAGCCTCCACATGGTAGAAGAGGAGGAGGTGGTGAGCTAGTGTCTAACTTCCTTAGATCGATCATTGGACATGGGTCTTCGGCGGTGGATCCGGAGCATGTACCATTGCTTTTTTGAGCTCATCTGAGCGGCTTTTTGAAGTGAAGCTACGACACCACCTATGTTGCTTCAATGGTTGAGCCTGTCTTGATTTCACTAAAATTGAGTGTACCGGTCGAAGGGTGGCTGTGTAGAGCTCTGGCATCAGGCTAAACCGCTTCCAGTTATTCCTGCCGACCATGATGTCAAAAGGAGAGGCATAGTGGCTTCGACTCGGCTTCAATATCTTCCATCCCTGACATGAGTTGGGGGTGAAGCGACGACAAGGTTGCCAACCATGGTGGTAGCGTCCCCGGTGATGGCGACCTTGGTATGTGGCTGACGCCTCGAAAAAGGGCCACATCACATTCGGCAACTCGTGTCCAGGGTCTTTTTCGTAATGTTTGTGGGCTCAGTTGTAATTTTGCTCTTTCTAAGGGTCCTGGTGACAGTTGTACCTGTACTGGACTGCAAAGTTTAGTGAAGTTGCTCCTAAAAAAAGTGTTTCCCCCGGATCGGTAGAAGAACAACCTGCAACTACCACCGGAAGGAAATGAATGCCTTGAAGAAAAGTTCCCTGGCATAGTATCCTTATGACGCGGCTGCAGCAGCCAGGTCGCCTGCCACTCTTATATAAGATCACCGCCCATACTGGCTCTCCCACGGAGCAGCATTGTGCGTAGAACCAAGAAGTGCCTAGCTTTATATCAACGCACAACTAACCATTACTACTCCAGTAGTGAAGGAGCAGAGGTAGGAATAGGATGGTGAACTTGGTGGAGGCGCAGAAGCCGCTGCTGCACTTCCTGATCAGGAGGGCCGGGCTCCGGCAGCACACGGTGGACGTGGACGGCGCCGGCACGGTGCTCACCTTCTGGGTGCCCAAGGACAAGCTCCCCAAGGACAAGTCCACCGTGTGCGAGATCACGCCCGAAGCGCCGGCGGAGACCAACAAGGCGCCGGCCGCCAAGAAGCGGAGCAAGACGAAAGCCAAGGCCTCGCGGCCATCCGTCGTCCTCGTGCACGGCTTCGCGGCCGAAGGCATTGTCACGTGGCAGTTCCAGGTTTGCACTTTGGTGATGCTACGTAGTACATGAGTGAGATGTGGCCTGTTTCCGTTGAGATTATTAAGTTAATTATAATTCATGCTGTCACGACGTGCGTGCGTGCGTAGGCTGGTGTGCTGGCGAAGCACTACGACGTGTACATCCCGGACCTGCTCTACTTCGGCGGCTCCACGTCGCCGTCGACGGACCGGTCGCCGGGGTTCCAGGCGGAGTGCCTGGTGGCGGCGCTGGGCAAGCTGGGCGTGGAGAGGTGCACGGTGGTGGGGTTCAGCTACGGCGGGATGGTGGCCTTCAAGATGGCCGAGTCGCACCCGGGCCTCGTCCGGTCCCTCGTCGTGTCGGGCTCCGTCGTCGCCATGACCGACTCCATCAGCGAGACCACGCTGGAGAGGATCGGCGTCAAGTCGTCGGCGGAGCTGCTGCTGCCGGACTCCGTCAAGGGGCTCAAGGCGCTGCTCTCCATCGCCGCCCACAGGAAACTCTGGTTCCCGGAACGCCTTCACAGGGACTACCTCCAGGTCCGTTTCTACTCAATCAAACGCAAGATTCATTCATTTTCTGAATACAGTCGTGATGTGTGGCTTCTACCTCCAGGGGCTGCATCCAACTTTTATTTTTATGTGCATCATGTGATGTGTGATGGGTTCATTCCATGCAGGTGATGTTCACCAACCGCAAGGAAAGAGCGGAGCTGCTGGAAGGTTTGGTGGTCAGCAACAAAGACGCCACCGTGCCCGTTTTGCCACAGGTGCGTTTGGCCACCGTCCTCAACCCCCCCCTGTTGACTAAATACACCATCTTAGTTAACCTAGTAAATACATTCCATATCATAAAGAAAAAACAACACTACACCAAGATATGTTTGACTCTTTGTACTAGTATAGTACTCCAATTGATTACTCAGGAGGGCAGAAGCATTGATGGGTATTCATGGTTGGGAGTAATAAGGGTCATGAGCGGCGGTGATATGCTGAAGGCTTTCAATGCTCTTACCCAAGTGAACGACCTGTTCAACTTGACAGTAACACAAACCAGCCCATAATTACAAAACATGCTTCCCGTATAGTACAAAGTTGATGCACTAAAGCCACCAAATCCATCCGTGAAGAATATAAGCAGCGAAGAAAGAACTCTACCAAGCAATTCCCGTGATTACCAGTAGTACCAAGGTTGCTGACAAACGTTTCTTGTCCTTGCGCCGCAGAAAATACTTCTGCTCTGGGGACACAACGACAACATTTTCAACATAGAGCTCGCCAAGACAATGAAAGAGTAAGCTATCTATCTGTGCTCTTGAGATTTCAGACGACTTGAGCTAGCTTCACAATCCAAAGCATATTCTGAAGCTAAGCGTGTAAGCCGAGGATTAGATACTAACAAATGGTTTTCGGGTATACGCAGGCAGCTCGGCGAGGAGACGATGCTGCAGAGCATAGACAAGGCCGGGCATCTCGTGCACCTGGAGAGGCCCTGCGTGTACAACCGCCGCCTCTTGGAGTTCCTCGCATACGTCAGTGCTGAAGCTTCCAAGGAGTGACAAATTAGTAGGTCCATCGTGTCCCGGAGAGTGCTTGATTTGTTCACAGACAACTGGGGTCCCATTTGTTGCAGCTTGATTGTTTGGCCGTGTATAATATTTGTGAGTGTGATGCATAATAATATGGAGTCACCACCGCCCAATTTGTCCATTTCTCTCTTGCAGCTAAACAGCGCTGTACAACACTTTTTTCGAGAGTACGTCAATGATGTACCTTAGCTTTATAGAAGGCAGAAAGTATTTACAAGAGGTTACACGGGGTCGGCATCACACATCGATGCATCACACCCACTCCACTCCACTCTGAAAAGCGACTACTCACAAAACGCTGACACTCCCGAGCCTCCTGCCAATTTCCACAACTTCAACTCTTGAAAGATGAGTTTCATGGTTCCTTGAGCGTCCCTAACATTTACATTTCTGAATACTCGTGCATTGCGCTGCTTCCAAAGTGTCCAGCAGATCAACATGACAAAGGAGTTAAATCCTCTTCTGTTGGCTTTGATGATCTTCTTCCTACTTGTCTCCCACCACTCTTCCAATCTAGACTGGACCGAGGGCAAGTTTGCCTGCTCCACCCCAACTTTGGCAAAGCAAAGATACCAGACGTGCCTTGCGAACACACATTGCAGGAGCAAGTGATCCACCGTATCCTCCTCCTGGTCACAAAAATAGCACGGTGAGGTTTCCTCTTGCAGGCCATGTCTGAGTCTTCTATCCGAGGTCCAGACTCGATATTGTACTGCCAACCACATAAATATTCTGCAAGATAACGACGCCCAGCTCTTCCAAATTCCTTTATACGACTGAAATCGGATCCCTCCCTCACAGAACATTTTATAAGCCGATGCCGCTGTGTATTTCATGTCAGCACACCACTGCCAAACGGCCTCATCCTCTTGATCCAGAGACGGGTGCACCTCAATCAGCACCTCCCATAATCGGATGAACTGCGCCAATTCATCAGTGGACATTTCTCCTAGGATGTCCATCGTCCAAGCATGGGAGGACAATCCCTCCTTTACTGCTCTCATGTTTCTTACTTTGGTATTTACTTTGGCCACGATCAAGGGCGCCACCTCCGCAATGCAAGCACCGTTGATCCATCTGTCCTTCCAAAACAGAATGCGGGAGCCATCTCCAAGTTTCCAACTGACCAGGTTGTTGAACGCTTGCTGCACATTCCGATCTGGCGTCAATGGATCCTTGCAAAGAGAGCCTTGGCTCAGTGGTTGGGCATGCCGGCATGCGGTTGTGCAGCCTAACAACCCGAGTTCAATTCCTAGAATTGACAAGTGATGCATAGGGGGTTTTCCCCATTTATTGAGGATCAAGTTTGGCGTGTGGAGGAACCACTCATCAAAAAATATCTTGATACTCATTTAAAAAATTCTGAGGACCATGTTTATCTTGGTACTCATACTAAAATGGCCGTATGCATCCCTAGTTGGTGCAGAGGCCGGGGAAGTGAAATTCTCCCCCAATTTTTAAGGTGGCCATCATCGTACCCTCTCGCACGCCTCCCTAGGCGATGCCAGGGGGCCAAAAAAACCAGCGCCGCCAGCCTCCCTCGGCCATCCTCCTGCCGCTGATGCCGCTGGCAAGGTCCACGGTGGCGGCGGGCCCAGTGCCAAGGCGCTAGGGCGGGCGGATCTGCAGCGGGATCCCCTTGAGGCGGCAGGGGCGTCTCTTGTGGTGTGCCCGTGGGCAGCAGGCAGGGCGGCGCCCCTGGCCTGTGCGGCGGCGGGCAGCGGTCCAGGACGGCGATGGGCTTCCCTTCGTGCATGGATGGCTCTGCCTGAAGATGGGTCGCGGCGACCGCGGATCTGGCGTCCCGTCCAGATCCACTGCGGCATGGTCTTGGCCGGCCAGCGGTGCGTGGAAGGACCGGTGAGGGTATGGAGGATCTCTACCGGAGTACCAGTAGCGGTATACGTCTTCATGGCGAGACTCCGCGCGGTTCTGGCCAACCACGAGATGGAGTGGTGGCAGGTGGCTGAGGCGGCCTCATACCCGGAAGGTGTCCTGGTTGAGGAGTGCACCGGACTGGTGGGTGCCCCATATACCCGGCAGGTGTCCTGGTTGAGACCTCAGGTCTTAGATGTTAGGTTCGGCTGCGAGGTCTGTTTGGTATTAGGCCCAGACTATCAGCATCCCTTCATCAACTAGATAGGAGTAGCGACAGATGTTGTCTAGACGGTGGCTTTAGTCTTACTGGTGTATGACTTTGTAAGGTCTTGTGTTAATAATTAATAAAATAGCTGCATGCATCGTCCAGATGTAGAGGCCGGGGGTCCTCCTTCATTTCTAAAAAAAATTAAGGATGGATCCCTCAAAATCTTTAAGCAAACGGCCAGGAGAGCAAAATTTGAAGGAGTTAAGTTTCAGACCCACCCTACTCTCTTATTTTTAATTTTTTACTCGGCCATGACACCGCTCCTTAAAACAACTTCCCTTGCCTCTCGTCCACCACCGCCTGCCTCTGCCTCCCTGGTGACCGAGTGTTAGACTGTATATACGTAGACTTTGTATACATCTTGTATTGTATCCTTTGGTACCTCTATATAATGAGATAGCCACACTCCGTTTAAGGTGTCGAGCAGTTTCTCAAATCATATGTTTTACATAGTATCAGTTTAGGTTATGATATCTTCCGCTGCCTCCACCGCCACCGCCGCCGCTGTTGCGTCGGCCCTTGCTCCTACGTCGCCCTTCCTTGCCTCTCGGCCCCTCGCGGCGGCCGATGGTGCCCTGCGCTGTCAGGGTCCCCGATCGGATCGGGCGCCCAGGGCGATTTGACTCCCTCGACCGAGATCGTGGCGATGCCTCCCTATGACGCTCCTCCTGCACCGACCTATGGCGCCTTCTCCACCTCGTACGGCGCTCCTGTGTCGGCTTATGGTGCACCACCGCCGCCGTCATCTTCCTGGCCGATGCCACCCTACTCAGCGCCGCCACCTCAACCCTACACAATGCCGCCGCAACCCTATACGGTGCAGCCGCCGCAACCCTACCCAGCGCCGTCATAGCAGCCCTATGGGGCCGCGGCCGCTTCGCCGTATGGGGCCCCTGTCGCATCGAACTACTGCGCCCTAGCTGCTGGTCCTCCTGGCTTCTACCCACCATACTCGGCGATCGCCACTCATCCAGAGACGGCCCCGTCGATGGGTCTCTATGCACCACCGACGCAGACTCACGCTGATCAGGCCGCAGTGCCGTCGCCGTTTTACTTCTCGCACCTGCTGCCAGTGAAGCTCGCGCCGGACAACTATTTGTTGTGGCGTGCTCAGGTGTTGCCTCTTCTGCGGAGCCACTACCTCGAGGGCTATGTTGACGGATCCATCCCGTGTCCGCCTCCTCATCATCCGGCGTACCACACATGGGTGGACCAGGATCAGGCCATCCTCTCCGCCATCTAGTCTTCGCTCACTCCGAGCGTTTCGTCGATGGTCATCTTCGCCGCTACGTCTCGAGAGGCATGGGTGGCGCTTCACACTAGCTTCGCCTCCCAGTCCCAAGCGTGTGCTCATTCTATATGCACCGAGCTGGGCGAGACCAAGCTTGGCAACCTCAGCATCACAGACTACTTCAACAAGATGACCGGCCTCGCTGACACGTTGGCCTCCGTCGGTCAGCCGCTTCAGGATGAGGACTTCACCACCTATGTGCTTAACGGGCTTGATGATGACTATGACAATCTCGTTGAGAACGTCCATGGTCGCAATGATCCACTCCCGCCTCGTGAGCTCTATGCACGCCTCGTAGGTCGCAACAGCGCATCAAGGCGCGGTGTGTCTCCCCGAGCTTCGTCTCTGCCAATGCCGCGACTCGCGTAAACCTCAGAAGCCGTCACCACCAGGTGGCAAACCGGCACCCTCATCACAGCAGGCCTCGCGGGGCAATGCGCCGACCATTACTGGCGGGAGCCGCCCACTTGCTTGTTGTCCCTGTTGCGGCGCTCAGCAGGCCTGTCAGTTGTGTGGCATTGAGCGTCAAATTGCCTCCCGCTGCCATAGACGCTTCAAGCAAGATTTCCTTGGCCTGGGTAACAATGGCAAAGGGAATGATAAGCAGGTTGCCGCTGTGGTGATGAGTCATGAGCACGGGCGCACTCTGTCCTACTCCATTGATCCTACGTGGTATATGGACACAGGAGCTACAAACCATCTCACGAGCGAGATGGGCAAGCTCTCCACTCAGGAACCATATCGTGGTCATGATCAGGTGCACACCGCCAATGAAGCAAGTATGTGCATCTCCCATGTTGGTCAGGCCTCACTTCTTGCACACAATTGTCGAAAACTGCATCTTTCTAATGTTCTTCGAGTTCCCTCTGCTACACGTAGTTTGTTGTCTATTCCTCAACTTACTCGTGATAATAATGTCCTTGCTGAGTTTCACCCTTTTCGTTTCTTTATCAAGGATCTGGACACGAGGGTTGTTCTACTTAGCGGTCGTCTTTGCCATGGCCTATATGCACTTGACGCACCGCCCGCACCTCCTACACAGTTTTCTCCCCATGCGTTCAGTGGTGTTCGTGTGTCGCCTACGCACTGGCATGCATGCCTTGGTCACCCTGCTGCTCCTATAGTTCGTCATGTGCTGCATCGTCATGAACTACCAGTTGTGTCCAATAAAACTGATGAAACTATCTGTGATGCCTCTCAGCAAGGCAAGAGTCACCAACTTCCCTTTTCAGAGTCTAGTCGTGTTGTGAAACATCCTCTTGAGCTTGTGTTTTCTGATGTATGGGGTCATGCCCAAACGTCTGTTAGTGGCCATAATGATTATCATTGATGCTTATAGTCGGTTTACTTGGCTATATTATTAAGCATAAATCTGATGTGTTCGATGTTTTTATTCAATTTCAAACACACGTTGAGCGTCTCCTTAAGCAGAAAATTCTTCATGTTCAAACCAACTTGGGGGGGTGAATACCACAACCTCAATTCGTTTTTTAACAAACTTGGGATCTTGCACCGTGTGTCTTGTCCTCATAC